GTGCTGAAAGCGATCGGCCAGCAGTTTACTGACAGCCATTGGAGTCAACTGCCTACAAAACTCTCTCAGTCTCTTCTGTCATCATCAACATAACAGCCTGACCAGAAGGCACTGTGGCTCGGGCCGCCGCTCACCCCAACAGTGACGTGCAATATCCTAGAAGAAAATGTTACTAAGAAGGTTGAACATTATTAAAAGAAGACTAAACGGAAGAATTAGAAATGGCATGGATACAGGTACGCCATTGACTGCGACACATCGCCATCTCGGATAGCGTCTCTAACCAGCGGTTTGAGTGGTCACGAGGATCCAATCCAGACAGGTGTCACCTACCCACTTTGCTCAGTGGAGCAGTCACGGTCTTCTTATTTCTTGACTACGTAGTTGCTTGACCACCACGCAGTTTTACACAACTGTCGGTGGTCTCAGTATATAATGCCCGGTACGGTAAACGATCAGATGACATACGGAGTACGTGATCGAACCATCGCTGGCAGTGGAATGTGTGTGGTTGGTTTCCAATTTCAGTGATTGCATGTCTAGCCCCCTGTCTGCTAACCATCATAATCATCATTGACAACAGTATATCACTGTCTAATTACTATATAACTGTGAGAAGGTGAACACAGAATATCTCTGGTTGGACGAAAAACAGGATGAAGAAGTGTGATCCTGTCCAAGTGACAATGGCTAACATAAAATGAATCAACCTGAACCACACTGAACCGTAGCACTGAATCATCAGCAACGCAACGGAGGGTGACATCGGCGGTTAGCTACTATATGAGGCCTATTATGTGAAGGGCTAGGCACTGCGTGGTGGAAGACGACAAGAAGATAACATTGGTCCGGTGCGGCCAATCAAACGAGAAATCTGGAAAAATTGTCCAGGTAACTAGGATGAGATAATAGTATAAGACAAGATACAAGAAGGGTAGAGTGTTTGGTATTTCAGAAGTGCCAACAACCAAGGCTCAAAGGCTGTGTGCGGATTTGACCATTCTCTGACAAAGTTCAGGTGATAATCCTCAAACACACCTCAGATTGGCCTGTAATGCAGCAAGTACCCATGTTTTCTTTGTAAGCCCAATTGAGCTCAAGAGCAGCCTGGATCAGTCTATCATGTGTCACCTTTACTCATTCGCCATAGAACTGAAACGGTACCATGGCAGATGACCGCTCAAGAAGTTAAACGACAGCTGGCTGTTACAACGTGTGCGAGTTGGTGGTTGTCTACATAGATGGTCATACGATTAGCTGAATGATTATGTAAAATTTACAGTTCCATAATCAAAGGGACTACTTTGTGGGACTCGTCGTTTCCTCTTGACTGACAACTTTGAATCCAAAATAGCGTTCTTAACGGTATTTGACTTGTTCACACCCTGTTAACAAGGATGAAGACAAATCACTTTAGATTATCCTTTTGCACTTGCTGTAACCTCAGGAACTCGAATTTGTGGTTACCATGTTTTGTAATGTTCACGACTTTATGTTACTGACAAGACTGCGAATATGTGAAAACGGTCAATGACTTCAAGCGCATACGTACGAATGAACGCCATATCACATCAGTGGTCGTTCACAGCGTTTCAAATTAACAGGAAGCATTAACAACAAACCGTAGACAAGGAGAACAAGAACGAAATCGGTCGCGGAGGTTAACTGCAATTGAAGAGATAAATAAACGCGAAGCATTAGTAACAATACTATTAACAGTGCAAATTTATGATCCACAACTGCGAAACCTAAAGAAAGTCACAAGTGTATCGTAACGTTGCACAGACTCCTTGTTATTCGAAACGGAGAAGTGTTCTGGATGAACCAATGCTGCCAAGACCGGTATTTACCGGAACGTATTCAGACTAACCAATTCAACAACCGAAATTATTAGTAATCACTAGTAAAGCAATATGGCTCACTTGATGAAACAACAAATTTTGGATAAACTTGCGCGTTGTATCAGGTATGTGGATGCCTAGTGGGCTATCGAAGCTTCCTCCATTAGGGGCTCTAAGTGCTAACTGTCCACGAATATATATATATATATATATCTATATATAAACAAGAAATTTTGGGGGAATGGATAAACCCAAGAAATAGAAATTGTAGAAATCACCTGCTCTTTCGCCTACTCAGAAGCATTAGCACTCAGTACAGCTGTTGACGAAATTACTCGTAAAGCTTACAGTTCATTAAGCCTACAAGTGTTGGACAGGAGCGTTTCTGGGTCATTCCTAGTAGTCACTGAAGGCCTACCATGATATATCTTAAATTGGATGACCACTGCGGAACAGTTTCACCAGGTCGTTCATGTCCTTAAAGAAACAAAGTAGTGGAAAAAATGAACACTGCAGAATTCCAAGGTGGACATCATCCACAATTGATCACAACTGTCGCATTCCCATAGACTTTCCAGTCGGCCCCTTTCGAAAATAATTCGTTAACCTCCACAATAAAAATCTTAACACACGCAGACGATTATGGCTGCCAATATCCGTAGTCGCATTAGTCTGTCACAGTGGCAGCAGCCCAAGGATGTCTGCGCACAAACGTCATCATAAGTGGTTTGCGTTGAACGACTTGCGGTGTTGTTAGTAAGAGCTTTTGTGATCCAGACGGTAAACTAGTATGCAATTTGAACCCCATCACTGGAAAAAAAGTAGAGACTCCAGTAGTGGAATTTAAGCTAAAAAAGATATCAAAAATATGGAACAAGGATAATTTCGACAGAAAAGTACATGTTGGAGTAGGGATTCAAAGTTGTGTTGAGAAACGAAACGAAATCTTCGTAATACAGTAGGTTAACAAAAATTGAAAATAGGAAAAAGCAACTTCCAAGCGACTCTCCGAGTCCAGAATCATCTGGACGACACTCGTCGACTTTACACGACGGAACTCTAAGGGTTTGTGGTCAAGTGATTTTCTGAATAACCATGAGGAGAAAGTAAAACAACGCTGTTTGCCTAAAACGGAGTTTGAAGGGGCACACCAACTTTTTAGTCAGAGTCACCCGAGTGTGCACGATATAAAACAGTCCAATATTAATCTCAGAACAAGACACCATCTTTCAGGTACTCACATACACACACCAAATGATGAGTATAGGGAATACATTACACGGAGTTGCGAGCGACAAATGTTTTCACGACAGGAGTTTCATTAGCTTTGATTCTGCACCCACTGAGGTAGCATTTCCAACAATAGGTGAGCACCACCCTTTGGCTTCAATAAGAAAGTTTAAACTATTTTGGGGAGCCATTATACAGGGACTACATGAGTTCCAATCTCAGTTTCACCCGAATAGTACGGCGCAATACACGACGGAATAACAGTGACAAAACCGGACTCAGCCAGCGAGACCAGCATGTCAATCATCGCATTAGGCTAGCCTTTCAAAGAAAACGATGACGAAATTTTGGTTACAGACACCCCACTTACGCTAAACACGTGCACAACGCTTCGAAAACACTAGCCATCAAAAGTAGGCAGTCTTAAAACATGGTCCACATGTATGAAAGAGTTGAGTACGCTGCCCCGCAAAAAATAGTACTACATTCGATTTTGGAAGTTTCTTTCTAAGCGAAATGCATAGACAAGCAAGTAAACTACTCAGACGCGTCACAGCTGCTGGTGAGTGTAGAGACAATTATTTACTAGTCTTAGAAAAAATGTATAGAACAAACTGGCAAGCCAAAGTCACTAAGTTGCCGACAATTATTTGCAATATTAGTGTATGATTACAGGCTGGGATGACAATGTTGAAATGCGTTAGGTTTTCATATCCAGTGTCATGGAGTAGAACTACACCTAGATATGTCGATAATCAGCTGTAGTAATTTCCAGAGGTTTAGTAAAATATTGATCAAAAAGTGAGATCGAGTAACAAGGTTAAACACTGCTCGTGTTTTAACACGATGGTATTGTGCTGCCACGTGGTCCAAACTAGTAAATTAAACGGACATGCCCACCGACGATTAGTGTGACGTGAGTACCGACCCAATCGAACACTAACACCAAGGAATCCTAGAACATGTGCATAGCAGATTCACGCCATGACTCGACTGACGGAGTTTATACGTTGAGAACACAGAAGGAATTCAGGACAGGGGCTTCCGTACAGTAACAAACGTCGACAGGTATGGTATTTGATGAAGTAGTTAATGTTGTCTGCCGACTAATTTGTAAAAACGTTCGAGTAGTTTGTGTACTCAATTGGACCGGTGCTATTTTTTAACAATCATGTAAGTTGTTTAGGTGACAGACTCCATTTGTAATGTAACTATCCACCATAGTGACAGAGGAGACTGATTCAGTAGAAACAAAGTCATAGTACAAAGTCAAGAGAACCGTAGATGGGGAAATGCGACAAAATGTATCACTGTTCGAACTGTGAAACAAGAATTCCAGGACGCTTTTTAATGATATTTGTGATCATGCAACTGTAACACCAAGTAAAATAACTCTCTCTTACAACGATCACAATCTAGAAACAACCATTTTGTAAGGAACTGTACAAATCCCAAAGAAAATACATGATACCGGACGGCCACTTCCTTAACCTCTGTAACGGTCATCGGCAGACAACCCATCCACAATGTTTATCCAAGTAAGCTGGTCTCCCCACACTTCAGTCAACTTTCATGGATCAGATAGCCTCGGCTTTAAGTTAGGTCACTTTCACCAGTTTTCATAGAAAAATGACTAGACCGTGTACTACTAGAGGTGGGGATTAACGAGAACAACATAGCACCCTCATCACATTTACCTGGGTAATGGAAGTACCGATTATGACGAGTGACCTTATGGCTCACTAATCCCGGGTTGTAGATGCGCTGTCCCGCTTATAAAGATGATAATTTCAGTCGAACCACTAGGTTTAAAATTTCTCGAACAGTTAACATTGCAATCCACCAACACCACTGTTGACCACATAAATTATATTACTAAGTAGTCTGACTGATTTATGAGTTTAGACGAGACCCGACTGTGAAAAGTTAGGGCTTCAGCTGGATTCGAACCAACAACAGAAACAGCATGCCCAAACGCTGCAATCGCTCTATCAGTTGAACTACGAAGCCACGCCAGGAGGAACAGGGGATCTTACATTCGTGTCAGTGCTTAGGCGGTAATTTGAACAGCTAGGCACATTAAAAGACTCGTAGTGTACACAACAAAAATGTATCAGCACTTGAATCAATTATTCAAGAAGCCCGGAAGAAGACTTAACAACCTGGATATAACAGTTTTAAAGCAACCAATACAGACCTCTTTGAATTCAAACAGAAGAACAATATCGTCACTCGTTCTTTGGCTGAGGAAGCAGCTGAAATGCCAAGTAAGTCTACTGAAAACTGATTGACGAGTGTGGAGGGATACGCAAAAAATATACACTTCTGGAAATAGTCCAATGCAGATAAACTGTGTTGTCTTTCCGTACAGCCTAAATAAAAAATCTTCTAGGATGGAAGGAGCAACGTAACTTTGTCAAACGTTCGAGTAACGGATTGACTGCCTGCAGTTTAGAAGGGGGCAAAATAAGTCTTTAATAACCAAAAAAGGTAGAAATATCAAGTGGTTTGAACGGAAAAATGTACATCCAGCGTTAGAACGTAACGTATATACAATCAAAAGACATGGATGTAAGAACCTGTCTGAAGTGACTGAACCACAGAGCAATCTAGGAAAAGCCCGGAAGATAATTACATACAGTTCATGTAATTTGTATGTGAACAACAAAAATGGACAGTACCGCATCCGCGATCATCGAATACAAGCAGAAAAAAGTTTGCTAATCGGATTCAGTAGCGTGAATGCAGTTAATTCATAGCTGAGTTGTTTGCGTTGTGCTCGTTCAATTAATGAAGCGAGATAGTAAAAACCACAAACGTCCGTTACCGTCATTTACAAATCGGCTTTGTCTGAAATATGCTGGTACCCTAAGGTTACACATTTCAGTTTAGACATGAAATCTTGGTTACAAACTAGATCCCAAATCGGGTTTTTCTCTAACTTCTAAACTACTGTTTATTTTTTCTTCCTATCTCCATATGACAGTAAAACATCAATGTAGAATACTGATATACCGTTGGCGATTAAACGCAAGCATTCTCAAGAGAATCGACCGTGAAAACAAAAATAAAGCAACAGTATCTTTGATATATCATCAACAAATCAATACAATTACGTAGGTTCAACGAACGCGTAACTGTACTCTAAAAAAGATTAGAAAACAAATATGGCATCATTGATCTATGTCGAAATGTCACAAAATTTCAAAACGTAACAGTCTGACCACTGATATGATGAGTCACCGGTGTTGACTATGAGTAGTTTGAAACCCTTCACAACTACGCCACGGAGCTACAAGTGTGAATTTGAGCGAGAATGAAGGTCGATGATGTGATCTTTGGCCACTGCGGTTGTATAGATTTTACGAACCTCTATGAACAAAGAAACATACTGACTAAACGATTCAGCAGTGGCCAGCATCTCTTGTCTGAACAGTTTAGGTTGATTGGCCGGAAATGTACGCTATGCAGAGAGCTTAGCTGAGACCAACTTGTCGGTCAACATTTGCCGGACGTACATCGACTTTGTTGCTGATAGATGTGGCTACGTCAGACACCCTTAGTAAATCTGGTTAAACAAACATTTAGTGGTCTGACCTACATAGTCTGCTGTACAACTCACTGAAAATGAGTACACAAGCAAGGATTCGTTGAGGATGAGCAGTTTGTGTTACAGGCTCGATATCAGCATGAGAAGTGCACGGAACCAGTCGCGTAGCGTTAAAGCTGAAAATGTGCGTCTTGGGGTCCGATAGAGCCAACAGTTCACTTTAATTGTCCTGTTATGATCTGAGAGATATACTGTTTTATACACACAGCATCGTACAGTTTATGCACACCGAACAATAAGAAGGCAAACAAAACCTAATCCTCTACACACTTACTTGGAATAATTGATTGCGCTGACCCATCAACGTGACCAGTTTGGATTTGAGTTGTGAGTCCAATCGAGTAATCATCAGTTCGATTGCATTGCGAAGCTCTCGAACACGCTCCTGTTTAGCTTGTTTCACAGTCTGAACATTCTTCTCCTAAAACACATAGCGGTGAGTAGAAAAAGGCAAATGGTGATCAATACGGAGATATGTTGTACAAGATACATGAAATTGTTTATTCAGATATCATGGAAGTACCTGAACCTGCACAAGTTAGTAAACATTGCACGTCTAGTATGTGAGTTTCAACAACCGCCTCAATAAATGAGTGCGATGATTAACAGCCACTAAGTCCTGTGTTGATCGCACTGTACACATGTGAGTACAACTGAAGGAAATACGGGAAGCTGCAACGTTTCAAACCTGCGATAAAAAAAATCACCGTGAGTGACTTGAATTGAGTCAAACGTGGTGCCCTTTTTTAGCATAGTCCATCAAATGTTGTGCAAACTATAAAGATGGACAAAGATACAATAGGAAGAAAAACACCTTGACGAAATTGCTTGCCATCTCCGAGGCAATGTTGATTAATACTCGCCGTCCGGTCCTGTGTGCATAGACTGTTGACTTATGCAGTTTGTTTGGCCAGAAACTGACAACAGTCCCGGTTTCATGTGAACCCGATCGTTGACTGTTTCTATTGTTGTTGCTATCCGAATATCCTATATATTCTAATGTTTTACGTTCGTGACTGAACAGAGTAAACGAAATGTTAACATCTCGCGACGTATGTCTTCTATCGTTATTGGTGAACCAAAAGAGGGTTAAGTTAGCATACAGTATTCAACGCTGATGTAAAGACGTCAAAATTCAAATCTCAGACTCGACAATGATATGTGCTACCAGTGATGTCAAAAAAGTTACCTGAGAGAGACAAGCTACAAGTTAAGCAAAAAGCACAGTTATACTCAAACTCGAGTGGTGTTATAGGTCAAGCCCTAGATAAGTAACTATGTATTGATTGCTTAAGTCCAACTAAACGGTACAACCGGGTCAAGGTAACAACGGTTTGATACTAGTTATGACGAAAAAATGAGCAACAGTTGTTTATTGCCTACTGTTCGGCAGCGTGCAGCGATCACAACATTCTTCTTTGTGTTATACATAGGTTCCATGTCAATTTCTGACACGATTTTAGGAATCAGACAATTAACTTTGTCAATTTGTTTGCCTTGATTTATCCGAACTGGCAGGACGAGTAAATTACTGATATCTGTCGTCCATCATCTTCAAACACATCGGAATATCGTATCAGGTTCCGTGAGTAATCGATAAAGGGAACGACTTAAAAAATGCCCAGTAATGCATAAAAGTAATGAACTTTCAACCCTCGTTACATAAGCAACGATGGTTTAACAGACAGAAGGCCATCTGCTTTTCAGGAGTACTAAGCTGCTACATAGTACGTAATACTCTACTTTATCAAGACAAGTATACTACCCCACTCATCATTACATAAAAACTCAAGTGATTTACGCTGAAACTGATTTACTTTCGTCCACTTAATCTGAGGTATCAGTCCGTCATTCATTACTTCCCGCATACAACCATTTGTTATTGATCTGACTGATGTCATATCCCAATCTCCATCACCAACACCCTCGAGTTGTCATTAACCACCAGCTACTAAGATCATCATCAATTATTACTCGTTGGTCTATACGAATTGATATCAAGCGTATACGCTTGTGAAAACTTTTATATTAAGATTAAACGACAACACTGACGATTCGACAATCAGCAGTGAGTTCTGTTAGGGTATACGCACTGCTCAAACAACCGCTGAATGCAACCTTGCAACCGGAAGCGCAAGAATCGCGGATGAATTGCGCTATCAGACTGTCACCACTATGAGAAATGCTACAGAATCTGGTGGTTATGTAACAGTCTTTTTCTAACAAAAGGTAATCAGGAATACTTTTCTATCTCAAGATACATCTAACCTACCCTCGAAAATTTCTCAAAATTTAGCTGGATCTTGCTACTATTTATTCATTGCAAGCGTCATCACTGGGCGGTCATTCAGTTAATTCAAGATTTTGCACAGTTAAAACCGTCCTCTATCTAAACCGACTTTCGAATGAACCTAAATACACTGACGCGGATACAAACGAGCTTGTTTGAAGGTGAACTCTGAAAAAAGTTTCCTGTCAAAGCTCCTGTCTACATCATGGTCGCTGTGCAGTATTTCCTAATGTATTACTTATTCTAAATATATACGAAATTCTCAGTGCACATTTACATGCATGTAGTCATTTTTCTTTAATGTACGTAACATTTCACTCTACTTAACAAGTTACAACGCACAATCTTATGTGGCTGTATTTGATCTCACAATTTTGATCTCACTAAATAAACTTTTCCATTCTCAATGAGACTCAGGCAAAAGTATTTATTCGATCGAATCCTGTCATATTCTTCCACTGTTATGCTATCTGTACTAACTCAATACTTATTCTTGAGTTAACCAATAATGAAGAACAAAGGGGGTATCGAAAATCGATTCTGAGTTCCACTGCTTGTGAGTATTTTTGTACATATACAATGATAAGAGGTAAGCTTACTGACACAATTGCCTCTCTAGTGTTGAAAAGACCGATAACGCATCCTTTAAATTGTGCACGGTGTGTAGTTGGTCCGGTTGTTTTCCTAACGTGTATATGTTCGCAACAGCCATAAATGTAGCACGTGTAATGCGTTGTTTTTAAATAAGATTCTTTAACATAATCTCCTTCTACTCGGTGTGGGTTTTTAGACTTCATAGTTCTGCTCACACCACCAGTTGTGACTTTCATAGAGAAAAACTGTTACTTCAAAATGTTTCTCCATCAACAATTTAGCCATCCCCCTGCCTGTGTTAGGACTTCATCGGAGTTTATTAGCAAAAGTGAAGCCAACTAAGGAATGCATTATGTTGGTATAAGTTGAACATCACTCATAATTGATTGCAGCTGTCGTATTCCCAAAGACTTTCCAATCAACCACTACTAAAAAGAAGCACGAGACTCGAGCTTCGTTCTTGTTCGGCCATGACAACGATATACACTACTGACAAGCTCCAACAAGAGCAAAACA